AGAGAGAGAGAGAGAGAGAGAGAGAGAGAGAGAGAGAGAGAGAGAGAGAGAGAGAGAGAGAGAGAGAGAGTTCTGAAAGAGAGATGATGAGACTGAAAACAGAGAAACATGAAACAACTGTCTTTCACGGAGGTGATGCTTTCATGGTGGCGATGCAAGAGCACGAAGGAAAAAGATGGGGCCCAATTCAATGGTGGCCACAAGCAAAGAAAATGGCAGAGAGAAGGGTGTGAAACAACAACTATAGCTTATTGAGGTGATAACAAGAGGAAATATGAAAGGATATGGAACCCACCTTGAATTCAATCTGAGTCTTTGACGAATCAAATGTCACGTCGTAAATAAATGCGGGGCACACCAGATTCAATACAAATATTGGATAGATTTGGCGTGCAACTGTCTGGCGTTTCCTACTCCCGCTCTCGGCGCCGGTAGCCCCAGTTGTTTTACCGGCGATCTCTGAAGCATGCACTGCTCGCGGCCCTGGACGCCGATCGCGAAGTGCTTGGAAGCGTGCATTCAGCATCTTGTGCAGTGGGGTTCCTTGAACAAACCGCCGATTGACATCTGGGCGCGAGTATGTTAAGGAGAAACAGAAAAAGCGAGAGAGAGGCAGAGACTTAACCCGCACTTTGAAATCACATCCACTTTTCTGCTCGTACAGAAATGAAAAGAAAAGAAAAGAAACTGATGGAAACTTAAAGCCATGGTTGCCCAACTTGCACCAGATCCGGACACCAGCCCAGTCCAGACGTCAGGCCAGACAGCAGTCCGGTTTGATCCAGACATCTGGTGATGTGGACAAGAATCCGGGCCTCCGGACATCTAGAACCGGATGGTCCAGGTGTCCGGAAAAAGAAAAAAAGGATGTTCAAACTGTCCTTCAAGGACTGGGTGTCTTCAATGTCTTGTAAAAACAAAACAATAAAAAACTGTCCTTCAATGTTTTTGTGGTCCGCAATGCACTGCTTTGAAAGGATACACGCTGCAGACACCCAATCCCGGTCCCAGGGTAAGTTCCAAGTCCCGGGGCCGTTCGGTAGGGTAGACTGTAGGGTCTAGAGGCAGAAATGTCGTAAGCTCAGTAGGTGTCGGTACCGAAGCGTCGTAGGTCGGTAGGAGTCCGTCCGGTACCCGACAAGAAAAGTTCAGAAGCGTCCAGTCCAGTCCAACAGTCCCAAGTCCATTTTTGCAGCATGTCCCAGGAAAGTCCGGAAGCTACGGGACCGACAAAATGTTTGCAGCAGACAGGCCGCGGCCGACGGGTACCGGTCTGAAGCAGGCCAAGCCAAGCCAAGACAAGCCAAGCCGAATCCTATATTTAGCTGCTACAGTGTGGCGGCTCACCACTTGTTCAGTTGCGAGATGCGGAAGCGCTGCTGCTGCTTGTGCGTTAAGGCAACTTGGCACTTTGCGCCTGAAGAAGAAGAAGGCGCTTGTGAGATACTTCATAGCTAGGCTAGAGGTAGCTAAGGAGGAGGGTGGCCACAGTCTCCAAGGTGGAGCTTACCTGAGTGGGTGAATCCAGGGTGACGATCTAGGGTAGAGTGAGAGCGAGAAGAGAGAGTGAGGCAGAGTGAGTCAAATCAGAGAGAAGCAATTTTAAGAGAGAGAGAGAAGAGAGAAGCCATAGCCGATATCTGGTTGAGACCCATTGTGTGTGTGTGTGTGTGTGTGTGTGTGTGTGTGTGTGTGTGTGTGTGTGTGTGTGTGTGTGTGTGTGTGTGTCTGTGTGTGTGTGGCAGGGCCACTGGAGACAAACATTCATGTATGTTGATAATAATTTTGGAGACGACATCTTCGTGTGTTGATTGTATCTCAGTTTGGCTTCTCACGTGTGAACTCTCATGTGAATGTTCATTGATGTATGCGAGGTGAAACTTGACGAGTACTTGGCTCATTTCAGTTTTCAAAATCTTGCACATTGTAGTGGACTGAACTGCACTGAAGAACTACCAACTGTAATTGGTCGTGCCCACCAACTAATACCAATTACCTATTTGATACTTGTTCATACTTCATCGTATTCACAACATGACAATGATGACAGTGTTCACACTCACCTTCGCAAGAGTCTGAGCGAGATGATGAACGGAGCATTGCAGCATCTCTCTGACATCAAACAGCTTTAAAAAATTGTAAAGAAGTATAGAAAAGTCAAATAGCATACCGACTTTTGTAAGTTTTGTCACTGTTAAAGAAAAGTTAGAAAACACAGAAATGCAACTTCAAGTAAGGGTCTTAGGTACATGGCCCAAGGCCATCTTCAGAATCGATACGGCCATACACAACCTGGAGTTTGACCCAAGGGAATGGGCATGGAAACCAGAAAGGGGGGCAAGCACAAAGAAACTCACCCTCATCCAGGATTACACGGTCAAATTTGGGTACGAACTACTGCTAAAAACAAAAGATCCAGAACCGGTGATCAAGGCCAGGTGGCAAAAACTAATAGGGCAAGAAGCAGACAAGATCACACAGATTCCATATAAGAATTATAAGACAATTGGACCCATCAAAATCAGGAGTCTCCAATGGCTGATTACATACGCAGCACTACCAGTCAACCAATGGCTTCACGTGAGGCGGAAAGGTTCATACCCCAATAGTTCTGATCACTGCAAAGTATGTACGGAAGGGGCTGTAGAGGATATAGTTCACTGTTTAGTGCACTGTAGGGAGGCGACAGAATTTTGGGCACGAGCCTCGACCCTATGGAACTCCCTCTTCCCGACCCCCTTYCCCGAACACCCCATCCAACTTCTTCTTCTGACTAACATCCCTGCACATCTCCGGAAAGCGGAAAAGATTTGGTATGGACTCATCAGGAAGGTGACACTGTGGATCAWATGGAAAGAAAGATGSAGCAGAACGATTGAAGGAGTGGCCAACGCACGTGAAAGGTGTTGGCTGGAGACGAGGGAAATGATACAGGCGGAAATCTTATGCCGATGGCGGAAAATCAAGCTATCATGGTCAGAAGACGAGGAACAGCGGAAGAAGGCAAGACTGACTTTCAACAGGACATGGCTGATAGGAGGAAAAGTTGCTGATCTGCGAGACGACCGTATCCACTGGAAGGACTGGCACAACTCCAACTCTCGGAACAGGCCGGGACAAGGACCAACGGGCCAACGGCAAGGCCTTTTCGGACCAGAAGTGTGAAGAGACAATAGTATTGAGCAAGCCTAGGCAGATGACAAGGAACAGCGTAAGAACGGGAGACGGAGACTACACAGGAACGGGGAAGGGATAAAACAGGACGACTGAGAGTGAGGAGTGCTGTTCCTACGGGAAGCATGTCTCATTACCAGAAAGGAGAGCCCACCAGAAGGCAAAGGCGGTGGTACCAATTACATCCTGAAACACGACAGGACAAGCACATTTTGGATTCATGGGCATAGCTCAAATCTCAGAAAGAGGCTACCGGAAACAGATAACAAGGGACGGGCAAACCTCTACAGGACCTCGACAGGCAAAAATCTCACAGCTTCGTTTGACAGCGCTAAGTGGAAAAGACGACACTACAAGTCCAGAACAAGCGGATATTAGGCGAGCCTAAAAGGTTAAAACGGTTCACAGTTTTAAGGGGATAGAGCGACGGTTTTTTCTCAGGAGGCCTTCTAAATGAAACGGTATTCACCAGTTCGAAGTAGCTGATGTAGGACCCAGGGTTCGATCCCTAGTTCCCCAACTTACCTGTGTACAATATCT